AACAGAGAAAAATCAGAAACCATAAGAAATTAAAGTAATATATTTTGTATTAGGTTTAGCTGGCATGATAAAAAGCTCTGAAACTTCTAACTTAAATCTTATTTTCTTCACAACAAGCAACCATAACTTTACTGAAACTGCATCTCCGTTCCAGCTATTTCAGGATTTTTATTTTCACGATACACTTACTTACCATAGGTGTTTGGAAAACCCCGGAAATCTGTTGCATTGCAATTGTCGAGGAGGATTCAGAGGCTCCGATGATGGCATGAACAGAAGAACAGTTTTTCCTCCAGGTGTTTTCCTCTCCGTTCATCAGACCCATTACTGCCCGTGTTGAAGGCAGCGTTGAACCGCAACTATCAAATATCCTGTATCCAACAGAAACATCGGGAAGCAGGTCGCTGCTGTTGTTAATTTCTTCAATGGCAAATATCATTGTTTGCACAAAACGAAATTCTCTCAGATTGATCCTGGGGGGAAAAAGGAGTGGGGTGGGGGAGAAAGTGTTTTACATTCATGGACATGAAATAAAATTTCAGAATAACAGTCTGCTTTACCTGGAGCATTTGAAAGGTTCTGGTGTTTTGTATCCTGAGAGAGAGGACATTGAGATTTGACTATAGATGGAAAAAGCCCCACCAATAATAATATCCCCTTCCTTTGATAAGAGAGAAACCTCTGGGCTTCCGTACATCTCACAGATACTGTCGTTCTCCGCCTTAAAGAATCGCAGAATGACAATCAACAGTGATATTACGCAAATCCAGTCACCCATCTTTCAGAAAGAGATCTGGAGTCAGTCCTGGCGACTTCTCCTATTAGTGTCAAGGTGATTTATTTCTGTAAGAGGATGGGCTTTGTACTTATATGATGATGAGGATGACGATGATGATGGTCCTCATCAAATCAGGGAAAATTAATGTATGTCATGATTCATTTACATTTGCTTTGACATGAAATATTTGCAAGGTGCCAAATCAAGAATAGACAAGAATAGCATTACTTGTTAAAGAGACTTTTTTTGTATCACAATTTATTTAGCAATTTTTCCATAACAATCTGTGATTCAATCGTGTCTCATAGAGTCATAGTAAAAAGATATTTTCAAAAGCAGCCTTTCTTTAAGAGATACATATGAATATGTTAAAATGTATTTAAGGAGGTTTTTTTTGTCTGTACTTACTGTTGTTGAGCTTTTCCACTTTGCCTTAATGTTGCGATCTCACATTGTTGCGATCTCACATCGTAACATTAACAGTTTTAGTCAATTTCATTGAGTACCGGTGTGTTGTGAAATCATGGACTTTACGAGGCCATAACTCAAATCTTAGTCTCTTTTTTTTTGTTGGCTTCCAGTTCATTTTAGAAAATACAATTCAAGTTAAGCAGTAAGTGTTAAGACCTTTCATCGTTTCATAGACAATCTCACTTGTTTAAATTTTTAAATTCAATAAGTTCAGCTCTTCAACCTAATTGAGAAAATCATGTGGGATTATATTTGGCAATTTTCATATAACTTAGATAATTATTACATTATTCATAGTCCTGGAATATTTAAATGTTAAATTATTTTCATTCAACCGAGAACACTGTTTAAATCTTAATAGGACATGCAACCCTCCACCATCTCCACCTCCCCAAATATAAGAAAAGGATGCCAAAGGAGTCTTTGTTTAAAAAAAGTTTTAATCATTTTCATCCACATTTTAACGGACAAAAATTATTGACACTATTTCTGATGACCAAAAAATCCTTTATAATTGTTGACCAGCTTTTTAAGATGTTCCACTGATATAATTAAGATTTATTTTTTATGGTGAATCATGTCTTTGTAAAACGAAGTTTCAAGGCATTCTTTACAGATTATTCCCTCAACAGATTCTCCATCAGATTCATGTCAGGACTTTGTTTAGGCCACTCCAAGACACTACTATTACTTCCAGTCAGAAGATTTTTTTTTTTTTTTTGTAAAATGAAAACATTACTTTGGCCTAATTTTGCAAGGTCTGTGGATTCTTTCTGACTTGGTGTATCTACATTCCTCTTTTTGTAATTCTCTGTGGCTGTGAGAATGTCAGGGTTATTCAGCAAAAGCAGATAGTTAGCCATCATCACTCCATGCGTGTTATTTTCTATTTGACACTGGTTTTGTACAGTATTCAGATCTATTTAAGCTTTAAGGTTTATACTAAAAATATATATAACTGTTTACAGTTTAATGATAATTTTTTACAAAACAGAAACAGATATATCATTATGATGGATGCCCTTCAACTACAACCAACTGTGAAATAAAACAAAATAATAAAATATTTTGCACATGAGAAAATATTTTTGTAGCATTACAGTACATTTCACATTACAAAAAAAGAGATCTATTTGTCTTTTTTATATATACAGATATGCAGTTCCTATAACATAAAGAAACTGCAAAATTTGTAAAAGTAAAGCAAAGATTGTGTATCATATGAAACTAACTAGTGTTGTGTTTTTCCCAGCAGGTGTTTCTTTGTGTTCAGCTCAGGCCTCACAACTAGAATAAAGCATTTCGGTGCAAATATACAAAACAGTATCCCATAACTTGATGCTAGAATAGCAAATATCTCCACAGCTACCGTGAGATTTCCAGGAGAGCTGACATAAGCTGGGATGAAGGTGATCCACACGGCACAGAATATCAACATACTGAAGGTTATGTGTTTGGCCTCATTGAAGGTATCTGGCAACTTTCTGGCTAAGAAAGCAAGGACAAAACACAGCAAGGCAAGGAATCCAACGTATCCCAACACAGCCCAAAAGCCAACAGGTGAACCCAGAGCGCACTCGAGGATTATCTTCTCCATATAGTACTGGAGGTTTTTTAAAGGAAAGGGGGGATTTATTGTTAACCACAGGATGCAAATTATGACCTGTATAAAAGTGAAAAACAAAACAGTGAGTCTCTGCTGTGCAGGCCCAAACCATTTCATCACGTTGCTGCCTGGAAGTGTAGCTTTAAAGGCCATTAGGACCACGATTGTTTTCCCAAGAATACAAGAGATGCAGAGGACGAAGGTGATGCCAAACGCTGTGTGCCGCAGCATGCAGGACCACTCGGTGGGCTGGCCGATAAAGGTTAAAGAACACAAGAAACACAGAGACAAGGAGAACAGCAACAGGAAGCTGAGCTCAGAGTTGTTTGCCTTCACCAGTGGAGTGTCCTTATTGACTAAAAACAGTGTGGCTACTATTAAAGTTAGCACAACGCCGAACAAGGTGAAAAATATCAGTATTTTGCCCATAACTTCAGTAAAAGAGAGAAACTCAATTTCCTTTGGTAAACATGCATCTCTGTTCTGACTGGACCAATATGCTTCGGGGCACTTTTTGCAGTCAATAGAATCTGTAATAAAAATAATGTTTTTCTTTTTAGTATTGCAGTTCAATAAGTCGCACTCTTACAATATTTACAAATGACTGTATCATCGCTAGTTTCAACATAATACACACACTGTGGCAGGCAAATTGTGTGCACATATTACTGTAGTTTATGTCTGTGTTACCTGTCGTGTTGCTAAATTCTCCAACCGGACACGGCACACAGTCAAAGCAGCACACGGGTTTTCCTTTTTGAAGGACTTTATGGGTTCCTGGACGACAGCTTTCACTGCAGACTGACACAGGTAGCTGGAATAATAAACATGATGAGAAAAAAGGGCTTTGTTAAATATTTTTTTAAAAGTGTGATCAGATTTTATTGTCAAGAAAAATCTTTACCTCTTTTGTCCCCCCTGGCCACATTATAGCATCTGTGTTAAGAACAAACCTCTTGCCAGAAGGTAGCGAGGCGTCATAGTAGCCAACGGGTCTAAACTGAACCGATCCATCCGTTCCACGTTGCCAGTTCACCACCTCATACATGGCAACAGCAGCTCCAGTTTGATCAAACCACACTCTGTCCCCGTTCTTAACAGTGAAGTTCACATTTTTTAGAGCCTCCACTACCTAAAGAGCAATCGACACTGCTTATTTCAACATTGTTAGTTTTACAACTATAGTCCAAACAGTACAAGAGTAATGACTTATTTTTATACCTCCCATGGCTTCATTTCCACAGCTTTTTTACATGCTTGACCCTCTGAACACTTCAAGATGCTGTGCAGAGAATGTGATATGGCGTAGACGGCTTTATAGATATTGGTGGAGTACCTTAGCTCTTCCACATCATCGTCATTATTACTGAGCTCCGCTAAATCCTGATTGGCTTTGCAAGGCTTTTGACTCTTCTCCGTGTTTGTCCCGTTGCACAGGAATTCTGTTTCCCAGAAACCTCTAACCAGAAAATCCTCCAGGCCACTGATATTGGCCTTTTGCACTGCAAAGCCCAGAGCACCTCCCAGCACACTGAAGCT